ATTGCGTTTTCTTAAACCTCAAGGAAAACTGAAAGTGAATTAACTAAAGAAGTAAGAGATTTAAAAATACTTTCGATTTTGAAATGTCAACTTTGCGATAAATTCCAGAGACTTGACGTATGTCAGAGTGCTATCTTGCAGCATATTTTGAAAACTGAAGATAGAGAAAAATTATTTAGTGATGACTTTCAAGAAGTAGAGGATTACCGAGATAAGTTTCTAGAACAGTGTGCTCAAATAGATGCGAAAATACAAGCCTCCTCTCTTCCAAGTAACTCAGAATCGAGGAAATTTAAATTGCCTAAAATTGAGCTTAGAGGGACCAAACATCTATCCCTTACATTCAGAAAGACAGGAAGAGCCCTTGTATGCCTATTCGATATGCTATTCGACCGATATACCTATTCAACTAACCTGCTTCTCTGAGGCCTACTTTATGCTAAAGTCTGACAACTGTTCGTACTGCCACTGTTTATGTCTCTGAGGCATCTCAAGTCACAGTAGGGTGCATCCAAGTCTACAGATTTGTTTGAATAGCCTTATGGCATGAGCAGTCATGTCTTTAAACTCTCCTAGCTGCACATCTCATATGTGCATAGCACACATACCCTTGTCTCATTGGCACTAAAATTTAACTTATTTGTATATCTCTTATCTGACTATATTCCTGCCGAGTTTCATGATTGTGGCTCAATTTTTTCTGGGTGCATATATTTTTTTGTAGCAGTGTATATTTCGTTTTAACCCCTTTGAGCCGGGTAGCGAAAATGCGCACTTATTGCTGAGGCCGGCAGTGTCTTACGGGAGCGTCTCTACAGGGCCGGGGGCTTTTTTGCTACTAAGCCTAAATCCATGAATTTCGAAGTTCAACGCATTGTAATAATGCTTATAGGTATTTAAACGGCTTATGCTTTATAAATATTTTTATATTATACTTAATTACCTTATTTCTGTTTAAATCATATTTACACATTTATTTAATTACTCACCATTTATGAATTTAACATTATAACTGAAACTAAATTTAAAAAAAGAGAATTACTAAATTCTCTTTTCATATGAAAATTGAAAACAGGGATCTCACCCGTCCTACTTACTTCCTTCACTCGTCATACCATTTGCGTTTGGAGGATTTTTTGGAATGTGAACAACGAGCATCTCGTCTCATTTTCTTATCAGTCTCTTCTGAACAAATTTGGAAAATGTCTTTCAGTAAATCTTCAGATCATATTGAAAATTTTGCATCATTTCTGCTATTTCATGCTATGTTAAACATTTCGGCGCTCGACATTGAACGTAAAAACAAGAATTCACGTCTAACAGTCTAATTATTTTCTAAAAATGAACTGCAAACCGAATACCAAACGCTTTAAGCAATAAAACTTCTCTACTACAGTAAACAATTACCACGTTGAATAAAGTGCGATTTCAAGAGACGTCATAAATCATGCCATCGGAAACATTATTTCCCCATTTGTTATATAATCAAAAACATGGTATGTGAGTATGTTTCTCATTTCGAGTAGAAGGTATAATTACGTGATCGAAACATATGGACATACAGTGCCATCTTGTGAGAAATTATAGTTTGAAAAACTTCCAAAGACTGCCAAAATGTGACAGTCGGTAGAGAATGGAACAATCCTCTGGCACGCCTGCGTGTTGGCCGGTAGGTAAGTGCGTTCGTTGCTGGCACGTATATGTGACAGTCGGCGCGAAGGGGTTAATCACCGAATGTTTATTGACACATGGCAACTTGAGTAATGACTCATGCAGTGATGCCTAAATATTTTCTTTTATATTATTAATTGAAATAACAAAGAGTATGGTAACTTTTTATGTTGATGTTACACTTGGTAATGATTACAAGTTTAAGTTAAATGCGCTAAGAAATGTTGCTGAGGAAAAAATTAAGAAAAACTTCTTTCCATGCTCTAAAAAATAGATTTTTTAATGATACTCATAGGCAAAAAGATTACATTTAGTGCTGTTTGAATTATGAATAACTAAATTGTTATTCACATAAACCCAGAAATGGCACCAGAGCTCGTATGGTTGCACCGGGCAGCAGAATTTAGGGAAAACAAATTTTTTTGCAACTGAACAACAAAGCACAGAACAACAAAGACAAAAAATGTAGAACTTAGGGACTTGGCAGGAAGGACTTAAGTTAAGGAGGAATTTACTAATACATTAATTTAATATTAGTAATCTGGAGTATCTTGTTGAAGACATTTCGGTGAGTATTTAAATTTATGAAACAAATGTTTGGTTATGAAAATGAGTATTTCTTAATTGCCGTAAATTTTCACATTGAGCATCTTTCTGCATGTGTCTATGCGTAACAAATGCAAAAAGAATCAATATGTCAAAAATCTATGTGTAAATCAAATAATGAATGAATGGAATGCATTTATATCATGATGTTCCCAGATTAATTTAAAAGTAACATATTTTTATCTTTAAATTATGATATTAACAATTAAATGTAAATATTGATAAATCTTACATCTAAGAGATGCCTAACTCTCTTTGAATGTCAATCTTTTGACTTAATACGATATAATTATATTTGCAGCTCTCAAATTTCTGGGTATGATTTTTTGTTTTTTTTAATATGAGACAGCAAAAACATAGTTTCTTTTAGTGCTTGGAAATAAGTGAAAATATTTAGTTTTGAATGCTAGTCACACTGTTGTTAAAAATTTGATATTAACATTTATTTTAATTAGTTTAAAACTATTTGAGTTTGCAATGTTTAATGCTATTAAACTGCCTATAATGGTATGTAACCAAAAATAAAGTATTGTAAAGCATGCTACTGATTAGCAAGCAAAAAATTAATATTATTTGAGAAACTCCCCTAAGATGCAATTCCATTGTCTTAAAAAGATCAGTAATCCATTCTTTAGTTATTTTTTTAAATACTGTTTTTGACTGACCGCCCTTGGCTGTGACGTCACCAAATATTAGCTTCGGCCTTCTTCTATCAAAACGGCCTTGGTATAAGGCAGTTAGAAATTTCAGATGAAAAAGCTTCACCTGATACTGAAGCTGCTGAACTATTTGCAGATGAATTCTTTGAACGCATTAATAGTGAAAAGTTTTCTCCAAAACAAATAAATTTAGAACGCTGATGAAACTGATCTTTTCTGGCAATGTGTACCATAAAATACCTTGGCAACCTCTATAGAAAATTATGCAACTAGTTTCAAAGATTTCAAAATGAGACTAACAATTTTAGAATGTGGGGATGCATAAGTAATGCTAAATCAGTAAAAATATGCGACTTCAAGCATTTAAAGGAGTAAAGATTTTCCCCGTTATATATCGTGCAGATAAAAGAACAAAGGTGACACAAGTGTTAATGAATGAGTGGTTTGAAAATCATTTCATACCCAAGGCTCGGCAACATTAGAATTCGGTTGTTTTAACTGATGATGCAAAAACTGTCCTGATTGTAGACAACTCTTTGGCTCATACTTCACTTAAAGTTTTAATAAAAGATAATGCATCCATATTATTCTTTCTTCCAAATTATACGTTCATCATTTACCCTATGAATATTATTGGATTAGTGCATGCACTGAAATGCAAATATAAAGTAGCATTTTTAAAATTTATATTAAATTTATTGAATAATGGTAAGACTATTCAAGAATTTTTGAAATATTTTAGCATGAAATCTGCTATGTGGAGCATCACAAGATCATGGAAGAATGTGTCTCCCATGATCTTGTGTCTTTAAAAATGTCTTTAAAATATGTTTGGCATAATTTATGACCAGCTATTATATTTCATGGTGAGGATGATGAAGATGATAGCCATGAATTTGAAGGGTTTTGGATATTGCAAACCAAATGTGAAATTTTCCAACTAATGGATGGAAGAAACAGTAATAAATGAAGATGACGTAACAGAAGATTTTCATTGCAATGACAATGCCCTAATCAAGTAATGGATGGCAAAATCTATAGTATAATTCTAGATTTAGAAAATACTGCTACTGATAGTGAAGAAAGTGACAGAGAGGTTATTGAAAACGAAAAAACTTGAATTAACAAGTTGGGAGTTTTTAGAGATGAAAAAGTAAAAGTTGCTTATTGGATGTAAGTTGCTGATTTTTTAGTTTTTTTTTTTAAAAACATTCTCAAACTGCTGATAACTCTCGACAAATGTTATCAACATATCAAACAGAATTAAAAGTTTAAAATTTTGAAATACAAATTTTAATTGCTAAATAAGGATTATACGATTCATTTAAGAACGGACAGCACATTTCTCGTGAAATCATTCTCTTAATATTTTAGCTTTGCTATTCTTTTCATATACATAGCAATGTGGGTTTCACTAATTTCACAAACTCAGCTTTGTGCACCAACTGTGTGCGAAATCTACCTTATCATTGTTCCCTTTAGAAACTGTGTGGCAAAGTACTGTATTTCTACAGAAATTTTATCAAGTTTCTTCTGTTTTTAAGAAATTTCTCAAGCTATATTTTAAAATTGAATTCAAGACAAAAATTATCACCATGTGTCTATTAAAACTACTAAAATTTGGAATACAGCAAAAAAGAATGCCAATGAAAATGGCGATGTTGCTTGACTGAAGGATTTGTTGTTACAAGCATGGTTGTCAAGAGTTTGGCAGATTCTAAATTTGGCGACTTCTACTAGGGTGGTGGAAATAATACATAAGTACCAACAAAAAGATATTTAGTAAAATTTACTTTTAATAGTTTTTCTATATCTAGGATATAACAAAATATATTTTGCTGACTGCTAAATTATTTTCATCAATAAATTATCTTTTACTAATAATTTTTTTTATTTAATATGGGAGAAACTCTGAAATTTAAATTAAAAAAAATTTAAGTATTTTGGAAATTGCAATTTGGAACACCTGATGTATATGAGGCTAGCCAGGTATATTAACAAAACACACATATGCTTTTACCTGAGATTTTGCATTTTTATCTTATGCATAAATTTGTTGTTTAGATTGATAAAGAACTGGAATGCTGGATCTCTCTTACATAAAGAAATGCTTGCTGTATTAGCTGCTGTCACTGATATAATAAAGGAAAATGGAGGAAAAGAGACAGAAACAGAATATTTTGCAGCTTTAGTAAGATCTCTTGTATTTTTAATTTTTGTCATGAATGTAATTCATATTCAGCTATTAAAAGCATTTAAATTGTGTTGTGATTCTAAAAAAGGAATACTTTATAAAAAGGTTTTATAATTGATTATTGTTATCCAACTGATCTGATTGTTTTTAGGTTACTACTATCTAGTTTTCATATTCAGTGAGTCAAACTGCTTAAGAATGTAAATCAGTTTCATTTTCTAAGCATCAGCAGGTTCTTCCTGATTAACCCTCTCGCCATGTACGTTTTTTTAACAAAATAGGTTTAAAAATTGCGTATTTTTTATTACATATTTCAAATCTACATATATTTTAGAGATAAAATAACAAAATTTTTTGTAAAAGAGTTTTTTTTTTTTTTTTTTTCTCTTATATAATTAGATCATAGAAATAGGTGTCAGAATACTGAAATTCAAGAATAATGATATAAAAGGAAAATTCTGAAAGTTAATATTGGTTAAATTATGATTACTTTAAAAAATACAAGGTAAAACATATATGCTAATGAAAATATTTGCATAATGTAATGTTTGGCATAATAAATTTTGCACCACTGTCCAACATTTTCAATAGAAACTGAATTTTCAGATTCATCACTTTCTGCAGAGGAATCCAAGAATTTCTCATCAGTTTCGCTATAACTATCTTCAATATACTTGAAATCAGAGTCAAAACTACCTATCAGTGTTGGAAATATCATCAGGAATATAGGTTATATCACTCGCGAAACGCTTCCTGCAAGACGTCTTTGAGCTCTGAAAAGAATGCACAAAATACTACATTACGTATTCTTGTATATTTGGCAGAAATGTGGATAACTAGCACCATCTGTTAGCCCACATCTAAATAAGCAATAATACATCACAGAAAAGTCGAAAGGAAACCTTGAACTAGGAAAGAGTGGGTTGCACAGTTAAATAGACGGCAAAAAAACATCCCCGGAAATCACGGGTTGCGCAAATTTTGCTACTTGTACGTTGCCCGTGGAAATCATGGGATGCGCAGCAAGAGGGTTAACCAACCTCTCCTGAAAAATATTCATGGGGTTGTTATTGTCAAAATATGGCAACTCGGGTATACCAGAAGGATGTATGAATGATGTAAATCATATATTATATACACTGAAGTGACAAAGTCATGGGATAGCAATATGCAAATATACAGATGGCAGTAGTATCGCGTAGAAAATGTATAAATGCGAAGTGCTTTGGCAGGGCTTTCATTTGTGTTCAAGTTATTCATGGTGAAGAGGCTTTGACGTGATTATGGCCGCACGACGAGAATTAACAGACTTTGAACGCGGAATGGTAGTTGGAGCTAGACGCATGACCATTTCGGATATCGTTAGGGAATTCAACATTCTGAGATCCACAGTGTCAAGAGTGTGCCGAGAGTATCTAATTTCAGGCATAACATCCCACCATGGACAGCGCAGTGGCCGACCACCTGCACTTAACGACCGAGACCAGCGACGTCTGCGTAGAGTTGTCAATGTTCACAGACAAGCAACACTGCGTCAAATAACCGCAGAAATCAATGTGGGACGTGTCCGATAGAACACAGTGCGGCGAAATTTGTCTTCCTTGGGCTATGCCAACAGAAGATCGACTCGAGTGCCTTTACTGACAGCACGACATCGCCTGCAGCGACTCTCATGGGCTCGTGAGCATATCGGTTGGTCTCTTAACGAATGGAAAACCGTGGCTTGGTCAGATGAGACATGATTTCAGTTGGTAAGAGGGGATGGTAGGGTTCGGGTGTGGTGCAGACCCCACAAAGCCATAGACCCAAGTTGTCAACAAGGCACTGTTTAAGCTGGTGGTGGTTCCATAATGGTCTGGGCTGTTTTTACATGGCATGGGCTCGGTCCTCTGGTGCAACTGAACCGATCATTGACTGGAAATGTATACCTTCAGCTACTTGGAGATCACTTACGGCCATTCATGGACTTCACATACTCAAACAACGATGGGATTTTTATGGATGACGATGCGCCATGTCACCGGGCCACAATTGTTCGTGATTGGTTAGAAGAACATTCTGGACAATTCCAGCAAATGATCTGGCCACCTAGATCGCCCGACATGAATCCCATCGAACATTTATGTGACATCATCGAAAGGTCAGTTCGTGCCCAAAATCCTGCACCGTCAACACTTTCACAATTATGGACTTCTATAGAGGCAGCATGGCTCAATATTCCTGCAGGGGACTTCCAACGACTTGTTGAGTCCATGCCACATCGAGTTGCTGCACTTCGCCGGGCAAAAGGAGGACCGACAAAATATTAGGAGGTATCCCATGACTTTTGTCACTTCAGTGTATATCCGGAAATCCAATATTTTGGAATATGTTTAATTGAAAATTGTGATGTCAAGAATTTTTTTAAACTTTTTTTCCCTGTAATTTTAATTTTAAAGTAAATTTTTAATGTAATTTAGATGACAACATTAGATATCATTGACACAGATGAAGCTGTTACAGCTGTTGTGTGTTTGCTTTCTATGGTGGTAAAAAGGTAGAGTATTGCAGTTTTTTAAAAATTATATAGTTTAGTTTCATCTATTATAATTATAAATTTGATAATTATTCCATTTATTTATTTTTAGATTGAATGAATCTGTGTTGAAGCTGCATTGCAAAACTGCATGTGAAACATACGTCAAATTACTAATCAAGTATATGAACTCTGATCATTGTGCTTTACTTAGAAATGTAAATAGTACTTTTAAAATTGCTCACTATAATGTTGGATGATTGTTGATTATTATTAAGCTATGACATTGTATGTATTATCTCATTTGTCTTACAGCTACTGAGTATTATCTTTGCATTTTGGAAAGTAAAAACTCAATGGGGAGACACATCAAATGAGTTAAATGTTGTATTGGAGTTTACAACTCATCATAAACCTAAAGTAAGTTGTGCTGATATGTAAAATATGTGTGTTTTACTATAAATATCACTAAAATGAATTTAAAAAAAGTTTTTGATGTTGATCTATACAATAATACTCCTTCTCAGATTGCTTTTATTTTTATCTGTAGCAATTTTAGTATATAGAATTCAGATAGTGAGAGGTTTTAAATCTGTGTGTTCAAAGGAAATAGTCTAAAAAGTTTCAATAATGATGATGCATATTGTTTAATGTTAAACAATAAATTTCTAGTTATTTTTCCAACATTTCTTTAAAATTAAAATAGCTTGAGTAATCTTTCTCCCT